CCCTCGTGCCTATACTTCACCGAGCCAGCTCGGGAAGGTCGTGCTCAGATCCTAATGTTCTGTGGGTACGAAGCCAGCCTGTCCAGCAGTGCCGAGACCCGCGACCCTATTCCTCGGAGGGGACTCTCTTGAGGACATGCATCTGGAGGACAGCAGCACGGGAAGACATGGTCCCTTCCACGCAGATGTTCACAGCAGCCTTTTTCCTATCAGACAAGAAGATGGAAAGCGCCCATGGGCCCGTCCAAACATGGTCTGGCCCTGGAAGGCAGAATCATTCAGCCATAAAAAGGAAGGAGGTGAGTCACGCAACAGCGTGACTGAACCTCAGAAACGGGATGCCAAGTGAAAGAAGCCAGACACGAGAGGCCACATACTCTATGATTCCACTGATAGAAGCTTCCAGAAAACACAAAACTGTAGAGAGAAAAAGTCCATCAGTGGTTGCCTAGAGCTGGACATAGGTATGGTGAGTTCCTACAAACGGGCCCCCGGTTTCTTTTCTGGGGCGACGGAAGAAAGGTTCTAAAATTAGGTGGTAGTGATAAGCACAGCCCTGTAAATTCACCAAACGTCAGTTGATCATAACAAAAAACAAAAGGGTGAGAGAAAAGAAAGTTACTTCAGGGAAATATTTTTAAATCCCTGTATAACTTTTGAATTTGTTTCTGTTTCTGATTCTAATAATGGTCATGGTTATTGTAAAGCAAATTGACAAAAGAAGAGTATTATTTTAATGTCAATTACCTGGAGAGATAATCACCATTTAGGCTTCAGTATATTTCTTTCTAACCTTTCTCCATTTCTAATTATATTTTTTTAATTAGGATTACACTATGTTTCTAGTTGTGTCTCTTACTAACAAGATTTTATATATATACATATATATATAAACATCTGAGTGATTGATTCTATCAGAAAAAAATCTCAGTGGGATGCTCGGGTGGCTCAATCCTAAACCATCTGCCTTTGGCTCAGGTCATGATCCCGGGTCCTGGGATCGAGTCCCGCATCGGGCTCCTTGCTCAGTGGGGAGCCTGCTTCTCCCTCCCCCTCTGCCTGCTGTTCTCCCTGCTTGTGCTCACTTGCTCTCTCTTTCTCTCTAATAAATAAATAAAATCTTCAAAAAAAAAAAGAAAAAAAATCTCAGTATTTTCTGGCTGAAGTGGAAATCCTGTTTGCTCAGGATTCTGAATAAGATAAAATAAAATAAAATACCTATGAACAAAGGTGTCCCAGACTGGCTGTCAGAACAGCAGACACTCAGCCATACTCACAGGCCCTACAGTGCCTTCAGCGTGGAGGTGGGTGTGTTTCTCTGGAAGCAAGACCATGGCCTTCACCAAATTCCCAAAGGGGAACCCACTTCCCATTCCATTTTTTTTTAAAGATTTTATTTATTTATTTGACAGACAGAGATCACAAGTAGGCAGAGAGGCAGGCAGAGAGAGAGAAGAGCCCAATGCGGGGCTCAATCCCAGGACCCTGGGATCATGACCTGAGCCTAAGGCAGAGGCTTTAACCCACTGAGCTACCCAGGCGCCCTTCCCATTCCATTTAAAACCCACTGCCAAGAATGATTGCTCTCTCAGGGGCCCTTCCCGCTCCTCACCTACGAAGACAGAAACTTGCACAACCACAGGCAAATCCCTCCACTCACTGGAGGACGGCCGTCCTCCAATCCTTATGCAGCAACCCTGAGAATACGGCCCCTGGGCTCCTCTGGGGGAGCTGCAAGGAGGAGGAATCACAATTCTAACTCCATATCCTGGGAGTTTTGCTCAATTTGAGGCTTTTTCCCTATCGAAGCAGAAATTCCACGGAGGACGGCCCAGTCTCAACCATGCTTTGGTTCTGACATGTGATCCTGCAGAGTAGTCCCTGGGGGGTTGGCGGTTGCTGGTGGGAAGGGGAGAGAAGAGGTGAGAGGTTTTTATTGTGTGTCATGAAACCCAGAAGTTCCAAAATTTCCTGGGCCCCCCAGAGCTCCTGGAGCCGAATGGGCTGGTGAAGAGTCTTTATTTTCTGAATTGCCTCTGAATTTTGGATGGTGACTTTTCTCCATCCTGTGAGTCAACTGGGAGAGGCTGTTTTCCTGAAGACTGTGAGGGTGCCATCTTCCCCTTATCGATGAGAAAACCAAGCTCATTTTCCTTGAGTTCGGAAGAAGACATCACCAGCCTAGTCCGGGAATAGCACACAGGGAAGCGAAGACAGTCGTATAATTAAGTTCACGAAAGGCCGATGCGTACGGCCGTATTTCAAATACTCATAATGCCTTCTCATCCATTCTACCAAGTGACGGCTCTTCATAATATATTCAGAGCGAAAAAATATAATGGATTCCTCTGAGATACTCAATTATTCAATAAAAAAAAAGAATTTTTCAGTCAAGAAATTCAACCAAATGACTAAAGCTGACAGTGAAAGACCAACCTCCAAGTAATTATGCATTTCTTTTGAGTTCTTGCTCCAACAAAGGTTGATGACGTGCCACCATTAGGAACAGTCATCCCTCTGCTGATGAATGACGTTGGTGTTTCGACGTTAACGGATATTTATTAGAATGTTTACTCTAAAACTGTCATTGGGTGTTGATATATTTCAAGTTGCACCAGCCCGGCTGAAAAAATGTCTGTTCTCACTTCATGACTCCCTGCCCAGCTTCCTTCAAGCTGGTGTCTTCCCCATTACTGGCTGCCTCTCATAAAGAAGTCACCAGTCGCTTTCTCCTTGCAAAGTCCCATGGCTTCTCTTTTCTCCTTCTCCTTTGGGGCATCACGACCCATTTCACCACTGTTCATTGCCTCGTCTTCCAATTCATGTCCCCTCTGTCTTCTGCAAACCACCAGCTGCTCTTTCAACTCTGGGGGTTTCCAGGCTTCCACCCCCACTCCCTTCTGTGCTGTCACATTGGGTGACCTGATTGGCTAGGACCCTTTCAAAGCCTCCATGAGGACAAGTCCTCAGTCACTACCCAGTGCCAGCACATCCCCTAAGCTCTGCATGTTTCTAGACAGGTACACAGAGCTGAAATGTCTTTCCACTGCCCACTACCTTCCATTTTGGAGTTCCCCATCCCCAGCAGCCTCATCTGAGTACCTGATCACTAAGACAAGACATTTCTTTCTTACTCCAACTGCCTACATCATGCCTCAATCTGTTGCTGGTCTCCCTGCCTCAGTGGCCAACATCTCTTGCCAATATCACGTGTGTTTCTAAAAATCAGTCACATCGATGGGCCCACTGCCTCTGTGAAAAACCTCCAGTGACTCCCTGTGGCCTGGAGACTCAGCACCAACAGGTCATTGTGAAAGTCAGGCCCTGTGCCCTCCCAGACATCTCCAGGCCCGTCTCCTTGCTCCTTCCGTCCGCTCTAACAGCCCACAATGGCACTGGGTGACGCTGTGCACACCCACGTAGGCCAAGAGAGAAGGCGTGAGCCACAGCCAGTCTGAGTGTTGGCAGAACATCTCATGATCCTCCCAGAACAGTGGGCACAGGAGGCTGGTAGGAGCCACTCTTTCCCACTGGCCCCTTGTGCTTAGTGTCACTCCCACAAGGGCCACCTCTGCCGCCTCCATCTTTTACTGTCTGGGTCAGAGCAGAATAACCTGCCTGAATCTGGAAAGGACGTGCCCTGTCTTCAGCAGCAGAATCCGTCAGACCTCGCCTTGCCTTGCACTGGAGACATACCCCCTGAGCTCATATACTCATTACCCTGCAAGCCCCCGTGTGATTCAGAACTGAACTGGAAACTTGATGTGTGTTTCAAGAAACAAACAGAGTTGTGACCTGAAATAAGGTTGAGCTTGGAAGTGCACATGAGGATAGGAAAGATGAAATGGAGTCAGACACTGGGTTAGGACTAGTGCATAAAGTTAGAGTACTGGATTCTGGAGCAGTGCCAGAACCTTCTGGAATAGGGCAAATCTGTCTGTGTGCAATTTGTGGCCTGTGAATTTGGATCTAATGTTTCTCAGAGAAATCAGGAACTGTTAATGAGTGGTTGGACCCAAGAGAAAATCTCTGACATCTAGATGATTAAAAATAAAGTTAGGGAGCAGTAAATAAACTCACTCTGAGCCTTTTGGAAATGAAACATCCTTTTCTTTAGGTGAAAGACAGTATCACGCTGGGGGTTGTAAGGGGCTTTTTAAAAATCATGATCCCTAAGATAAAAAAACACAGCAGGAAGTAACTGAAATAGGAAAACACAAGACCTGAGAAACGAGGCCCAAAGGTGATATTATGATTGCTTCAGCTGCCCTAGTAGCCAGCCAGCACTTGTGTTTCTGTAACTAATCCCCCTTTCTTTTTTGTTTTTTTAAAGATTTTATTTATTTGACAGGCAGAGAGAGGGGGGGAAGCAGGCTCCCCGCCAAGCAGAGAGCCCGATGCGGGGCTCGATTCCAGGACCCTGGAATCATGACCTAAGCCAAAGGCGGAGGCTTTAACCCCCTGAGCCACCCAGGTGCCCCATTAACCCCCCTTTCTATATCTGTCCTGTGCCACCAGGTCAGCCCCCCCCCCCGCCCGGGGCACCAGCCGCCAACCCAGACCCACTCCCCACTGCAAAGGAAACCCCAGATTAGCTCACTCTTTCTCCGGCAGTCTACCGAGTCGGACAGAGCTATTTCATATATACAAAACCCAGTCTTGTCTCATGGGACCCCATCCTCCCTGTGCCATCGACAGCTGTGAATACATGGCTGTTTAGATAAAAGGTTTCATTCGCTAAGCGAGGAAAGGTCCTGTTTGTTATATCCATTCTGTGCTTTCAGCGCATTAGGATGGCTTGTGTGAAGAAGCTTCGCATCCTAAGGGTAAAGGCTAAAGAATTTACATCAAAAGTATATGAGAAGTCTTTCAGGCCACTAGACTTTATGCACATGTGTAAGCTATTCGGGCCGTCCTATTTGAAACCCTTTAATAATAATAAAGGTGTCGAGCTCTGGCCTGGGCCAGCAGCCTGCTAACCTCTCCCTCCTTCCCCGCAGGCAACCCTCCCGCTACTGGGACTGGAACTTTGCTGATCACTCTGGAGGACGTCAACGACAACGCCCCCATCATCTACCCCACAGTCGCAGAGGTCTGCGATGACGCCAAAAACCTCAGCGTCGTGATTTTGGGAGCGTCCGATAAGGACCTTCACCCAAATACAGACCCTTTCAAATTTGAGATCCACAAACAGGCTGTTCCCGATAAAGTCTGGAAGATCTCCAAGATCAACAGTAAGTCGGGTTTACGCGTTCTCTAGCTGCTTGTCTAGCTTCGAAGCCTCGTTTCCCTGGCTTGCCGGCCTTTCCCACACTGTCCCTCCCTCCTCCTCTCTCGTCCATACCCTCCAGCCTCCACCGTATACTCTGTACCACACGCCCCGTACTGGACACCCACCCAGTCTGCAGCCCGCAGAAGCCAAGGTCTCGGCCTCTCCGCACGCATGGCACGGCCCAGCCATCTCTCGGTGTGCGTGTTCTCAGAAAAGGCTAAAGAAACAGGCAGCCCGGTAGAACAATCCTGATGGAGCCTTAGCCTCTAACCCTCCATCTTGCTCTTTGCGTGCAGACCTCCACACCATGAGCTTTGCCTTGGCGACAGCCGTGGCTTTGATGTTCAACGGTGATATCGTCACACATCTGTCCTGTCCCTCACTGAGGAGACTTGCCAGTCAGGTCCCTTCCTACCAGTCTCTCCATGTGGGAAGGTGGAGTTCAAAACTGGGCCCGATGGTTTCCCTATGTGCTCAACTAGACGGTTTCCCTACGTCCATGAGCACCTGCTTTCCTCCCCGTGGCAAACGTGAACTCACTACTAAGTTCACCCGGTTTTGCAATGACGTCAGAAACCAGAACCCACACATTGGACTCCCTCTGTCTCCAGTAGTGAACTTCCCCAGCAACCGACCCAGCACGGTACCGTGCTCACCCGGCAGTGGTAGACTTTTCGAGCGGGATTGGGAATTACGCATTTCATTAAGTCTTGAAAACGGGCTGTACAATTGTGCATAAAATTTTCTATTAAAAAAATCTCATATGTATTGAATGGCCTTATCTCATATCGCATTTTATTAGTGCCCTCCTCTCGTTATTGATTCCATTGGCCTGTTTGTCTATTTTATTGCTTTTTAAAGAATGAGTTCTGTTACACTGATTACTTTTAATTAAAACAGCCCCCCTCTTGTTCGAGGGGTTACTGCCACCTTTGCTAGTTTCTGTGGTGATAGCAGATTGCAATAGCCACCACCAGCTCTTTCCAGAAAGTTCCAGCCGGAACTGTCTTACTCGAGCTTCTCATCTACATGAGACCCGTCCCGCAGCTGGGGTGACATGTTGGTTATTTCTGCTGTTTCTCCTTGTGGTCAGGACGACACTTCACCTGTTTCTGTTTCCATGTCTTTGCTCTGTTTTCTTCACGGTTTTATTTAAGAGATAGATGACTTCTCAGTTCATTTCTTGGTCCCAGTTCTGTTTTTTGGGTTTTTTGGTTTTTTTTTTTTTTAAATCATCGTAACTTGAGAATAATAACTTTTTTTTTTTAAGATTTTATTTATTTACCTGACAGACAAGAGATCGCAAGCAGGCAGAGAGGCAGGCAGAGAGAGAGAGGAGGAGGCAGGCTCCCTGCTGAGCAGAGAGCCCGATGCGGGGCTCGATCCCAGGACACTGGGACCATGACCTGAGCCGAAGGCAGAGGCTTTAACCCACTGAGCCACCCAGGCGCCCCTGTTTTTGGTTTTTTAATGCCTATCACTGTTCATGCCCAGAAGGGGCATTTTTCCCAGCTTCATGGAAGTACAGTTGACAAATAAAAATTATATATACTTAAGGTGCACACTGCGGTGTTCCAAGATGGAATCTTGGGACACTACATCAAAAACTAATGAGGTAATTAATAAAAAAAAAAAAAAAAAAACTAATGAGGTACTGTATGGTGAATAACATAACACAGTAAAAAATTAAAAATAATAAAAAAACAACAATAAGAAAAAGGTACACACTGTGACGATGGGAGAATGGGTTTTTAAGTCAGTTTTTCTAGATGTCGAATGTGATCATGACAAAGATGGTTCTATCGGTTTTATCAGGAGGAGTTCTTAGTAGGCGGTCATCTTCACAAAAAGGGATCCCCTAGAAATAGATTATCACAGCACTGAACCATGGGACTCCTTGGCCGTGGAATGTTCTATCCTGTGCTGCCCGAGGCCACAGCCACCGGCCACATGTGGTTGCTGGACACTTGAGGTGTGGCTAATGCAACAGAGGAGCTGAATTTGAATTTTTAATGAATTTAAGTTTAAATGTGCCCGTGGTTATAAACCCACATGCAATGCCTGATTGGTGTGGTTTTCATCGCCAAAACCTCACCCTTTTATTTGGGAAGGTCTAACCGTCTCTCATGAAGGTCCTCCTTGTCTCCCCCAGATACGCACGCCCTGGTAAGCCTTCTCCAAAACCTGAACAAAGCCAACTACCACCTGCCCATCGTGGTGACAGATTCAGGGAAGCCACCCATGACAAACATCACAGACCTCAGGGTACAGGTGTGCTCCTGCAAGAACTCCAAAGTCGACTGCAACGCGGCGGGGGCCCTGCATTTCAGCGCAACCTCAGTCCTGCTCGTCTCCCTCTTCAGTCTGACGTGTAAGTAGCCCAGCTCCGGGGCATGCACAAGGGCGAGCACCTAACCACACCAGTGTCCCTGTCTTCCGTAGAGCTTTCCAAACAATTCATCCCAGAGGATGCATTCATTCTCGGTTTATGTCTGTGTCATAGAAAGTGTTACGTGTAAAAGTGTTACAACTTCTGTTGGAAGGTGTCTTCATGTCCCCCCACCAGCCAGTCTGAGGAATTGTGCAAAGACATTCTTTGCAACCCACAGACTAGGTGATGGGAAAATGTCCTGCTGATGCCACCAAATTTAGGCTAATAAGAATGTGCCGCGTTAGGTAACTGGTCTACCAGGGCCTCATTTCCCCCTGCATTGTGCGGAAGAATCTTGGTGAGGTTAGAGTAGGTAGTCTGCCTTTTTAAGAACAGTCGTGAGAATTCAGGGAGGAAGGCTGGGATGTGGGAAAAGAGATAAATGCATAATTTTCACACATTTTTTTCCACTGACGGGTAGTAATGGCTGCAATATAATGAAGCATTATTTTAAACTAATGAATTGTTGGGCTGAGTTATATAAATGTGAGCATAAAATGAATAGATGCGTGTATCACATATTTCCTGTGCTTGGTGCACTGCCCAACGTTAACCTTAGCAATTACTCATGTGTAGGTAATGCCATTCACATCCTCTTGGGCTTCGGTATTTATATTTTGAGAAGGTTATCGGTATAAGTGTGAACGGGGAACTCGAGAAATTGATGACTAGGGAAAAAAGGAATAGAAGTTATTGGTTCCTCGTGACCGTGGTAAGTGGGGTCAAACCAGAGCTAAGGAGAACATCTTACAATGAGAAGTGTCTCTCCAGATGGATGAATGGATAGATGGAGTGATGGAAGGATGGAGGGATGGATGGATGGAGTGATGGAAGGATGGAGGGATGGATGGATGGAGGGATGGATGGATAGAAGGATGGATGGATAGAAGGATGGATGGAGGGAGGGATGGAAGGATGGAGGGAT